AGTGAAACCAAATCAGGCCTGCACAGTGAGAGTGATTTTGCAGATGTTCTGTGTGTAAAGGTGGAATAATGTTAGCATTGAAAACTGCAATCCTCTGTAGTGTGCAGAGCAGGCCCAATCCTGTTCACTGTGTCTGAGTCCTGTTCTCCTCATGAGGTGGTTAAATCGTGTGTGTGTGGGCTCCTGTGGCACTGCTCCTGCAGCCCCTGGGACTGGGCTGTGCACGGTGTGGGCTCCTGCCCTGGAGGTGCCCTGGAAATGCACCTGGATCCAGGCCAGCAAACAGCTCCACACGGGAAATGATTGTCCCTGCCATAACCATTGGCCGTGGCCCAGTGGCTGCCAGTGAACATTTCCAGCCACAAATGCAATTGCCCGAGTGATTGAGTGATTCACTCCTGAGCCTGGGCCTTTTGTTTTCTCCTGGAGCATCAGCGTGGACATGGTTTGAGATAAACTGGGCTGGTTTCTGAGCCTGGCTCGCTGCTAAGGACAGAATCTGGGCTTTGTTGGAGGTTGCAAACATTTTTTCTGTTAAACTGAGCGAGACATGAGTCGATTCTTTCATGATTCAGAGGAGCTCTTAGGTTTTATTCCAAAACCTGCTCAAGGTTTGGGGGGTTTTTCACAGATTTCAGGTTTTTTGGACCATATCCATAGCTGTGAGTCTCTTATCTCATCCCTGAATACTAAGGAGAAATTAGAAAGGAACATAAACTGCCTCATGGAGAGAAAGTTCACTTAGGGGCTGTTTCTCAGCTTGACTTGACTTTCCTGATATTTAAGTAATTAGAATCCCATAATTAACAGAATGCAAGTAGATAATGGTTCCTACTAGATGAATGCCAAAATGCATGCTTTGAGCTGTCAGAAACCATGCTGCTCATAAAAGGGAGCTCATTTAATTCCTGTATTTTCTTGCCTCATTCATATTTGCTGATGCTTTTATTTATTTTTCATTAGAGAAGATTTAAATGAGGAAATGCCATGCATTCATTACAAAAAAAGAAAACTAGTGTTAATTTCACATTTATTCTTTCTATGGCTTATATTATCTTGTAATCATTTATTTTAAAACCAAATGAACTAAGGCATGATATTTCAAATTGCCCTTGAAACCACACCTGAATTTTGTGCAATTATCATTATTTCTATCTAGCATTCAGCATCTAAAACATCACACTGTGGATAGTTAGAGCACAGATTTCAACTCAAATAAATTAATTTCATGTTCAAATGTTTGCTTCCATTTTCTACTTTTCTTTCTCTTCCAAATTTTTCAATCTTATTAAGGCTTTTTGGACGCTCTGTTCTATAATTGGATGAAATTTGCTTTAATTGATTTATATATTACATAATCAGGAAAGTTGTGAACAGGATTTCTTAGGTTGTATTAAAATTAACTCTTTCTATGCTAATTGTCTGAATTCCTCCCACCTAGAGAAAACAATATATAATACATATCTGTATGCAGAATTAGAAAATACACAAGATATTTCTATTTTTTTACTTAGAATTGACAGTAAAGTAGCATGTCTTTGTTTATAATGGGAATGATTTAAAAATAACTTGTTTAGAGACCATGGCAGTTAATCTTCATATTGAAAGCTGTGCTCTCATCTGTTCCAGCAGGTCATTTTTAGATCTCCATGATGCCATGTTCTACCTGGTCTGTCTGGTTCCCTTCTGCATTGCATTCCTACAGATCCTCACTTGGACTCCCTTTTCCATCCAGAACAGCCACCTGGCAGCTCCACAGTAAATATGGAACAGTGGTCAGTGCTTCTCCTGCTGAACCACAAGAGAGTTCAGTAAGTTTTTCATGTGAGAGAGCAAAATTGCAAGATGAAACACAGTTTGAGCTGTTTCATTCAGTCTCTACAGACTGTGACTCATATTCAGCCCTAATGCTGAGCCTACACAAGTTTTTCCTGGTTCACTTGCTTTCTGTTAATGGGTTTTATCCTTAATTACTTTATTTAAAGTAATTTCTGGTATCTAATGATTCCTGTTAACTCACTTGAAGAAAGGATGTGGCAGATCAGGGAAAGGGATCCCAACCCAGCACCTGGAATTCCAGGGAGCTGTCTTTTCTGAAGCCTACTGGTGGATTCATTTTGCCATGCTGATAAAATGGCAGATCTCTGCAGTTAATCTGGAAGATCTCAGTGGATCCATCCCTCATGGATGGCAGGGAGATAAAATTTAGATGGTGTCTAGCTGGCCAGTGTCAAGACAAATCTAACAGCTACCAAGAGAATTAACTACCCTGTGAAAGTCTGTGTAAGGCTGAAGGAGAAAAGGATTCAGATGCTTTTCAGTGTTGTTCAGTATGGAAAAAGCTCAGGAAGTCCTCACTGGCTTTCAGAACCTCTGGTTGGTGAAAGGTCAGTGCAGTTTTTAAATGGGAAAATAATTTTGAAGGTATGCTATAGATAGTGCCTCATACAGAATGTCATTGTGGCAAGGACAGTGTTTGTCTGTGGCTGCAGGGTTCAGCTCTTGGACACATGGAGGCACACACAGTTACTGAACCAAGCTCTCCCTGTTCACTGGTGTTATGTTGGCTAACTCATTTGGTGTGTGATTATTTAAGGTAATTTCTGAATCATCAAGTTGAAATTAGTTAATTTCTGATTTTTTCAATGAATCCTTTGAATTTTATAAAATAAAGGGGTTTTGACCAAAATTTAGAAACATTGAGTCCTCTCTTCATTTCACACATTGTAATGATAATACACATTAGCATATTTACAGTACTCCCATTGAATCAATGTTATTCTTCCTCCAATATATCCACAGTGTAATAGTGCAGTGATAAACCTTTAGCATAATACACTCACTGCATTTTTGTATTTTGTTTTGCCTGGGCAAACACAGTTTTAGTGGCACTTTCTTAGGGAGTGCCACTTGAAAATACAATAGCATTGTGTGGATCTTTTAAAAGGCTGAGCAAGCTGATTTTCAAGGCTCTGCACTTACTGTGACAGGTAACTTGGAACAGAAAGCAGTGTAAGAAATGGCTTTGCATCTTGGTGGGCACCAGCATAATTTAATGAAGTTTGAGATTTGAAAAACCAGAGTTGAAAAAAACCATTCATTTGTGCCTTGGCTTTTACATTTGCAGAGCAGAAATAACATCATTTCCTTGTCATTTTGAAGTGTGAAGTGCTTTCAAGGCGATGAATGAAAAAGAGGGAGATCATCATTAAATATTTAGAAATCCAAATGAATCCTTTGATAGAAATACGAAAATTTATGTTAAAATGTAAGAAGCCAGAACTGTGGTGAAGTTTAAAGTTGCCTTATCTGGTTTTTATCTGTCTTGTCAGAGACACTGTTGTCCATTTGCATTGTGCATGCTGACAGCATTGTGTGCACAGAGAGCATCACTTGTGTGCTCTGGGGATGGGTAAATCCAAACACCAGAGCAGATACAGCCTGGGTGTTTGGGGTTGGAATTTGAAAAGATTTCCTGCATTGGATGTATTTATTTCATATCTGAAAGGCAGGAGTAGAAGTCAAAGGAATTCAAGTTAATATAATCTTTGATTCATTATATGAAACAGTCTTCTCCCTGACAGTTCCTTTAAAATGGTAATAACATTAAATAGTCTCTTTTTTCTTTATTGTTTCTGTATTTCCTAAATTTCCCATGTTTATCCTATCTTCATAGAATATATCTTTGAAAATATACAATAAAATAACATTATTGTACCACAAATAAGGTTTGTTAGGTGACTGTGTTAGTTATTTCTAATCTTATTAGAAATAGTGTACAACTGGAAGAGTACCATGCTATACAACAGGAAATCTAATAAGTGGTTTTAAGAGTTAAAATTACATCAAGAATTCATTGGAATCATCAGAATTATTTTTTTTCTGGAAAATGTCAGGTAAAGTTACCATTAATTTGCTGAAATAAGAAAGGAGTAAGGAGTGATCTGACTCAAGTACTGTTGGAATATGCTCTATAATCTGCTGCATCTCTAGAATTCCTACAGGAAATGTACATAATCAAAGGTTTCTAAGCAAGACAGCCTGAATACAGAAGACATTAACTGTAGAATAAACCAGTTTAGAAAAAAATCTGAGAAATACAATTCAAATTATTTAATACGTAAAATATTAATAATTTCCCAGATTTATTATGCACTGTTCTCCTATTTGTCTGTCCTATTTCCCTTGCTGTAAGGGCTGGAGAAATGTCTTTTAGAGCATCAACAGTCAATCCCAAAGAGGACTGGAAGGGTGATTTAAATCTGGGAGGTGATCTCCCTCTGGGAATAGAAGGTTGGCACTGTGCTGTGACTGACATTGCTTATTCTCCATTTCTCTGGCACCCACTAAACTTTGTTATCTTCTGCTAAACCTACATGATTGGTTTGGGCTGTGAATCAAGGAAAGGATGATCAAAGGCAAAAGTTCAGTGTCTTACAACAGCTGGTTTCCCTGCTTTCTCTCCTTGTTAGCCAGCAGTATCTGAGCTTGAACTCCCACTGCTGGAAAAATGCCTCAATTTAATCTGGATAATTTAAGAGTGTCTAAAATAGTCTCATAACTGATAAAGAGGCTATAAGTGTGTGTATAGTATAAAATATGAAATGCTGTGGTAAGCTCAGAGGAGGAGAAATGTGATGCTTGAATCCCATTCTTAGAATTTCACTATAAATTCTGAGAATATGGAACTTAATACACTGAATGAATTTTATTTATTGAAAATCAATAAGCAGAAATGTCTGCTAGACTAAAAGGATGTTGTCCAATAGACACTAAAGAATGTTAGTCTAATATAGTGGTAATGTAATATATGGTCAGTGATAGAGTGAAAATATTGAATAAATGACAGCAAAGCATATTTAATTTTAAGTGAGGAAAAATGATGTTTTGTGGAGCTGACATGCTCACTTCTGGTTTGGTGTTGTACCAAAAGACCTCCCCAGTCTCCTGCTGCCCTGAATTTGGAACTGCTCAGTAATTCATGGATGTTCTGTGTTGACATGGCTGGTAGGAATGTTTACATTTGGATCCAGCTCCACAGCCTAATGGTGCTGTCAGGAAGACAAGCAGGAAGGGGAAGGAACACTTCAGATAAGGCACATCTCCACAAGTACTTCCTGCCACAACTGAGCCAGCCTGGGGGGGAAAGGCTCACTAGTGCAGGCAGGCAAAAACTTCAGCTGGTTTGGTAAAGGAACATGCAGCTGAGACTGGGGGGAGTCATCCTGAAGGTCTGGGGAGACCCCACAGCTGGGATTCCTGGGTTACCTGTGGGGGAGAGGATTTCACATATCTGTGTTTACCTTAAAGACTCTTTCTGGTAATCCCTTTCTTGCTAATGTTTCAATAATAGAAGGGAAAGTTGTTTTATCACTGCATTTGATGCCTTGTGAAGGCTGACCCAGAACAGAGACTGGATGGAGTTAAAGAATAAAGTAGGGATTTATTAGGAGGCCTCAGTAAATCCACCTTGGGCAGCACAAGAGCTCAGCCAGGGCGAGCCCTGGTTCACCCCAGGTGAACCCAAAATGGTCACAAAATGCACAACCAGTCATGGGAGCTCTCTATTTTATAAGTTCTGGTGCATTTGCATATTGGAGTTAATTGTCTAATTCCAGCTTTAGCTTATGAAGTCCCATCCTTCTTGTTTTTCTCTCTTCTGTCCATGTTGTTTGTGCTCCTGGGCCTCAGATTTGGATCATTTGTCCTTGGTGTCCAGCTAGAGAAGGAATTGTTTGTCTACCCACTCTGTGAAGAGAGCTCACCATCCCCTAATATGAAGCCCAGACCCACCCACTAAAGCAGTACAGAATCTTAAAAATATAAAAGTTAAAACCTGAGGCATCACATGTTATTGGGAAAATTGAGGATTCACATCAAAGACTACACGAGGCTGTGCAGGCAGCCCTGCCCCTGAGGGGCAGCACACAGCAACAACGGCTGGGCTCAACCCTTTGGGATTGGGACCTTTTCTACTCCAGGGATTCAGTTGATTATGGAAATTTTCCACCAAGACAAAGAAAAAACACTCTCCAAATAGTGTTGCAGAAAGCAGAAAAAGTGATTCCATTATTTATATTTTCCCAGCACACTAACTGAATGACAAAGCTGGCTTACCCCACAAAGGGTTTGCTGAGCTTGTCCAGCAGTTGGTTACAACTCCAGCAGCTTATATGCAAATGACTATAGATCAAAATTATTACCTAAATATGCATTTATAGTGAGTTCTTTATGGCTTGTCAAGAGAAAAATATGCTGAGTATACAACTACTGCATCAGAATATTAATGACAAATGTAACACTGGGTAGGAATTTTGAAAAATTCCATTAAAACACACCCATGTTGTATGCTAACAATGCAAAGACAAAAGCTAGCAAATTTCCTGATTTATTTGGTATGCAATCAATTATCTGTATTTTTAAATGTGATAAAACCAAGATAAATTTCCCTGTGAACAACATGTAACCAAGCTGAAGTAATTTTGTTTACTGGTTTATAATATTGTGAGCAGATGCCTGTTTAAAAAGCAGCAAATTTATCTTTTGCCGTTTTAGATTTTGATTACAAAGCTGTCTTATTCCTGGCGGGAAAAAATAAACTAGTCTGTCTATACAAATAAGAACAGGCATGGAAAGGAGAGTCTTGATCCCAAGCCAAATAAAAATAGACCAAAAAGGCATTCTAGCCCATCTAGCTATTGGAGAGAGAAAAAAAACCCAATCAATCTTCAGTGGAAAACTGTCTAAAGCTCTCAAGTCAAAAACCTTCCTCAAGGGGGTATAACATCAGTGAAAATGAACTGCACACAACAATGCTCTGGCAATGTTCTGTCGTTGCTCTGGTTTTGCTGATTTCCCAGGATAGGCAAGGTTGGATGTGATCAGTGCTTGTTCAGACGAGGTTCCAGGTAAAACCCAGGATCCCAGAGGGGTCTGGCTGCCAGTGCCACCCTGCTCATGACACGAAGGGGCTGGACCTGCCACCAAACCCGCTCTGAGGGCTGGGCCCGGCTCTGTGAGGGCCCCTCACCATCAATGTTCGGGCTCAGCCATCAGACCCGCTCTCTGAGGCCGGCCCCGCTCTCTGAGGACTCCTCA